TTGTTTACATGAATAAAAAGTTATCGTGTTTCAGATCACATCTAAATTTGGCCAATTTTTTTTGTAACACACTGTATATAGTAAAAAATCATCCAGTTCGCCTTACTTTTCTATTGTAACTTATTTCCATCCAACCCACCTGCTTCTACTCTTTGTTTTAGATCTGTAAGCATTTCTTATCTACATTTCCTGACAAAAAATAGGCTCTTGGAAGTTGTTTTACTTGCTCAGACATGCGTCTACTTCCACCATACTTTCCAAAAATTGTTTTTCACAAAGAGCCCAACCCAGTTCAAAGTAATTCATTTAAAATTAAAAAATTTTAATTTAACATCTAGAAAATATTTATTATATTAATTTTTTTCTCTATAATGGACCATTTGGTTTAGGAAAAAAATGTCCGTTATAGACAATAATATTAATAATAATTTATATATATACATATAAATTGGGCTTAAATTTTCAGTACATTATAGAGAGTTGACTGTAGAGAGAACCTGTTATAATTTATATATAGACATGTAAAATTGGGCTTTCCGTTATTATATCAATTATATATAGAGTGTGAACTGTGTCTTATTCATTTTTTTAACTGCTTCATCTTCACTCCCAGGCATCATTATATGGCGTTTTTCATTTTGTATATTTCAATTAATATTGGATACTGCATTGTTCAACAATGCAAATTTTCATAGGGAGATAAGAAAAATATTTATTTAATATATACATTTTGATTTTGTATAGGGTTTCTTCTCTAATCTGCTTTCATAATGTAAATGAGGAATGATTGAACTTAATGAAATTAAATTTTACTTTTAATAAGGGTTGGTTTAATTTTTTAAAATTGGTTGGAGATTATCCCGCCGATCCTTATTTAAAATCAATGCAGATCACTCATTTTTAAAAGAATCACGAATCATTTAATTTTCTTTTTAAACATAAATTTCATTAAGAACTTTGGAACTTAACCTTGTTAACATGTATAAAGAAAGAAAGGTTGCCATGATACTTTTCCAATTTTGAAATGGTTTATTGCACGGGAAATAATTTGTTGTAAAGAAGACTCAGTTGACAGTTACGGTAACGAATCACGAAGCTTCTAAACATTTTTTTTCTCAACTGAATTGTTGGGATCAAAATCAAAGGGTAAAATTTTGTAATGAGTATTTTTTTTTTTTGGTGCGCTGGCTTGAAATTATTTGCAAATTGATTTAATAAAATTGAAATTTTTGAAAACGAAAATATTTCTGTTCAAAAAAATAGATGAATTGTTGTGGTTATTTTTACATGCGAATCCCCGTTATTACTATCTATCTGTTTAACGTATTTCATGCAACCAGAAAATTTATCTTGCTTGGTCGGAAATCGTGCTTCGCTTTAGATGTTTTTGTGCGGTGTCTACCGTCAGGTCTTCATCTTGCTTTGATGTTTTGGACCGTTTGAAATTACCAGAAATGACATAAAACTGATGGCATTGTCTTGGGAGCTTTTACCTTAGATTGTCAAAGGCTTGTGTTAGTATTAATGTTAACCAGTCACGAGACCGGGATTCAAAAAGACTTTTTTACGTTGTCAATTTTTAATGAAACAATATTAATATGTACAAAGTTTTTTGAAGGATAATGGATGAACCTTTCAGGGGGGTTTTTTTTTTTAATAAATAAATAATGAATAAATAAACAAACAGATTTGCCTCTTGAATATTTTTTACTCGCTTGCTTTTTGTCTATAATTACTTTGATTTATTCAAAAGATAAATAAGTTTGTCTCTTGAACATTCTTTGGTTGCTTGCCTTTTGTCTAGTATACCAAAAATAATAACAATTTGTCATCAATCATGTTCATGAAGTCACTCAGCAGAACACGCATAGTGATTGTGCCATGTAAAAAATCAAGAATACGTGAAGGCAAATTACAAAGTGTTTAGGGTAAACAATGCTGACAACGTCATGGATTTTTCTAATTTAAATTTAATCAATTGATTATCAGGGCCTGAAATATTATTACTATTACACTTTTGTTCAATAGCTATTATTGTGAACAAATTAATTATAGGTTGCATTTTTTCAGTGCGATCCATTCTTTTATGATGATGAAATTGTTAAAAAACATTTTAATGAGGAAGAACTTGAAGAAATTTCTAGTATTTCTGCTCCAATGATACATAATTTATCAGACGACATTATCGAATATCTCAAAAATTTGTAGACAAGGCAATTATGCTTTACATACTTGCATAAATATAAGTGTATTTCAGAAATCAATTTATTTTATTGCTTCTGATAGAAATCACCTAAAGAAATTCGTACAACTATTAACGATATTGACGAAAGATTAGATAAAAATTATGATAAGCATAACTATCATGATTTGGACTACGTAAGATTTGCACTTTATGCATTGTAAGTTATTATGTTTGCAACTTAATGTAAATAAATGTTTTGAGCTACTACTGACTTAAATGATCATACAGACTTAGGGAAATAGAAAATGAAACCCTAAAGGATGAAATTTTGGAACAGTGATATAATTGTTCCGTTTGGAACTCTATATTTGACCAGAGTTTTGACAATATAAAAGAGACATCTATAGTACGGTAAGCATCTTATATACTTTGACTACTTGATCTCTGTCTGATTTTTTTAACTACGAGATGGAGAAAGTTGTAGTTGTAAATTCTACTAGAAAAAATGCAAAGAGAGTTTAGGCGAGAATCTTAAATATGGTAATAAGGGGGATTGGATAATTAGAACGAAAGAGAGGTAGCCGGAACGAATTTGGGTATTAATATGAAAAAGTGGGAAGAATATGGATTGATAAATTTGGAACAAGGTTCCTAAAAGAGACATGTATTAAAACTCCGAAAATATGCTACTTGATTTGATGAGTAAAATGCAAATAGAATCAAAAATTATGCTCCAAATTACAAACAATAGGGATTATACATTTGGGTAAAAAAATTTTATTTTTGAAATCTGGACTTGTACAACAATCAAGAATTCTTATCATTATAGGACTTATGATGGTGGTGATAAGGTTGGATAACCCTAAGAGTTATGTATGTAGAGTTAGTCGAGATGATATTTTGGAGGTTCCTGACACTGAAGAAAAATTTCCAGAAGTATTGGAAATGTTAGCAGCTGTCCTAAATCTAAAGGTATTATTTTTATCTTCATTGCCATAACATCAATATTTTTCATAATGGTTAGTCTATGAAGAATTTACAAATTCTTCTTTATCAGAATGCGATGTGACAAACATTCTTGCACGCAAAAGAAAAAAACAAGTCATGACACAAAACAAATTTCACGACCTGTAAAGGGTTGTTGGTTGGCTGATGAATTTAGAAACGTGGGCAAATTCAAGCTTAAATTAAACGAGGTGCATGAAGTTTGACATGACGTGATTTTTCATGCACATTTATTTTTCATTTTTGCATGAAGGGAATTTGAAATCAACTCATAAAAAAACGTACTGATCTAATTCTTAATAACTACGCATTATATTAATATTGCAACGTAATAAATCTCTTCCAATATAAATACGGCATCAACTTTATTATTGTATATTCATGGATAAGAATATTAATATACACGTGTAAAATAAAAATAATAAGCAACAACTCTGTTACCATACATCGCACATTGTCGATTAGAAAAATGTTTCTCTTGATAAAAAAACCCCCTTTTGTCCGAAACTTATACGATCGAATGAAAATATAAGTTAGTAAGGCCAAGCTAGGGTTCCTAACCGTAATCCTACTCCCATTCGAATATTCGTAATTATTTCAAATACTTGTAATCATTTAAAATATTTCAAACACTTGCATTTATTTCAATTATTCATTAATTTTGATGAATTTTGTAAATACTTACAAATTACAATATACCTACTAAATTATATTTGCTAGAAAAGAAAAAAAAAACATATTCCATTTGAATTTTGAAAAGACACTTTATTTGAACTTGGCATGTTCTTACACTTCCAACGTTACTAATACTAAATGAAGCTCTCACGTGGCCTACCTTCTTATTATGGTTTGGCGATGAATTATTCGGTGGGTAATGGCAAAACAGATGAAAAGGTTTCCGAATTGGTTGTTAGGTATCCTGCATATTCTTCATAAACATAAATTGGCTCGACCATTCGTACTTGAAAATTAAGGAATTAAAAACTATATCAAATATTTGAAATGAAATCATGAATATTGTAATTGTTACAAATGTTTGAAATAATTACGAATATCTGAAATAATCATGAATATCCAGAATATCACGAATATCCAAAATAGTTCTGAAATAAAATTATATATTCAAATATCCTTGAATAATTGATTTTTGAATATTTGTAAAAAATTTTGATTTTTACACGGCCAGGCAAAAAACTAAAAACCCCATCTCGTTTTTTAAAGAATTGATGTCTTAGAAAAACGATCTACAACAAAAAATACCATTATCGTTATTATTATCAAAACTTTTTCAATGACTCCTATCCTCTTTCATTCTTCTCCACAAGCTAATCGACATCGAATGGTGTAAGTTGACTTTACTTACATACATACATTAGCATTAATGTCTTTTCCCGAAAAAAAATTTAATTCATCTAAAATTTTTTTCAAAAAGAAAACCCAACCCAAGGATAAATAAACCACCACCATCGATTTATATTCTAAGGGTAAGAACAATTTTTATACAAAATCAACTTTTGAATATTAAGCACGATCTTCATTATATATTGTGGAATTGATTAGAAACAACAAGATGCTGTGGGTAAAAAAAAAGAACTTGTCGCAAAGTCAAGACCCCTTAAAGGTGATGATTTATTTAATTCATTCAATTAATATTTATTTTATAAAAATAAGTTTTTTGGATCTAATTGGAGGTATAACATTAATAGAATTAAGTGTCGAATTTTCGAATCTAAATAGAAAATATAATGCGGTTATAGCGTCCTCTCGATCTTTCAACACTTTCAACACGCATCAAAAACCAAGGTTTTTCAACCCTTATGGTCGATTTCGGTCCATGCCTGTTAAACTCAGCTCAAAGTCAACCACTCTCAGCAGTATTTTCAATAAGACTAATGATGTTTCAAAATCTACTGTTTCTCCTACTGTAAATATATATATATATATATATTATGTTGATTTGTAAATTTTTTTTTCATGATTATTAACTTAAAAATTATTAAAGCCCATCTCCCAAGATAACAATCTTAACAAGCCGGACAATAATAGTTCTTTCGATCCTATAGTAAATATTTATTTATTTTTTATGACTAGAATTTAAATATATTAATTATGTATTTTAAAAAAATTCCTGCTTACTATTATTTTCTAGTATCATTATCCACATTTAACCAAAGATCAAGAAGCATTGGTATTTTTAAAAATTAGTTATTTGAATTAATTTTTTTTTAATATATATATATATATAATATAATATAATTTCCCTTTTTTTAAATATAAAATATAGGTTGAAAAATTATTAAAGTCATCAAGAACACCTCAAGGTGGAATAATTGACAAGTTCAACTTGACAGTAACTTATCATGATATCCACACTTTAAAACCTGGAACTTGGATAAATGATCAAGTTAGTAATAATTATAATATTAATAATATTATTATTAGTATCATCATCATCATCATCATCATCATCATCATCATCATCATCATCATCATCATCATCATCATCATCATTATTATTATCAGCAGCAGCAGCAGAGTGATTTCTCACATACAAATGTTTAAATTTTTAGGTTATAAATTTTTATGGTAAACTGATAGTTGAAAGAAGCACAAATAATGATGACTTGCCATCAGTATTTGTATATAGTACACAATTCATGACCAAATATTTAAATAGTGGATATCAAGGAGTTTCTAAATGGACAAAAAAGGTGAGTCTGTTAGTTGGTAGCTAGTAGTTGAATGGAATTAGGATTAAAACAAAATATTTAGTAAGATGGTTTACAAGTGATTATATATATGTGTGTGTATGTGTGTTATATATCTAAATAAATATTTTTTTTATTAGGTTGATATCTTTTCAAAAGATTTATTATTTGTACCAATACATAGTGGAGCACACTGGTCTTTATGTCTTGTTGATTTTCAAGCTTTTAGGATAGATTATATTGATTCAATGTATGGTGGAGGAACAGCAAAAGGCATGGACGTAATCAATGTACACATAAAAAAGAATGCTTACATTATTTGTTTTTTTTAATTAATCTTTATATACTTCAACTGACATATATATATATTTTAAGGAAGTAAAAGAATATTTAATTAACGAATGTCAAAATAAGAAAGGTGAAAATGCAAATCTTGATTTCAACAGTTGGGCAGAAAATCCAAGATTGAAGGTATGTAATATCGTATATTTTATTTATTTGAAAATTTATTCCATTAGTCACTAATAAATCACTATTTCATTACTAATATATATATAATTAGAAAGTTCCACAACAAAAAAATTCTTATGATTGTGGTGTTTTTACATTAGCTTTCATTGAACACATTAGTAGGCAAGCGCCTTTATTGTTTAATCAATCATTATTACCATATTTCAGGAAAAAAATAATATATGAGATTGCATCTGGTGAATTGTTGACATAATAATAAATTATTATTAGATAACATTATTGTTGCTGCATAGAATAATAATAATAAATTATATATCATTGATTGGTTTTAAATCATTTTTATTATTAATATCAATTTACCTAATAAATAATTACATACTTGGGTAAATATAATTTTTTTTAAAAAATTGTTGACTTGTATAGATGTGAGGTCCTATCCATTAAGTATTATATTTTTTATTGTTATTTTTTTCATTATATGTGAATCATTTATATTCAACCACTTTTCTTTATTCATTAATTATATATATACACACATACATCCATCAAGAAAGGCAAAGAACATTATTGAAATTTTCCATCTCAAATGGAATTATACTTTTAATCTTTAATATTAAATTTATTAAATTCATGGACAATGTATATGCTATTTTTGTTATCATGTATTATTCATGTAACAACTCTTTGAATGCTTCTTTTATCTCTTCTTCTGAATCAGTATCTTTCATTTTTCTTGCCATCATGGTTAAAAATTCCGGAAAGTCGATTGTTCCATTTCCATCTGCATCAATTTCATTAATCATATCGTTTAATTCGGACTCTGTTGGGTTTTGCCCCAGAGACCTCATAACTGTGCCAAGTTCTTTTGTAGTGATAGTACCATCACTATCTTTATCAAACAAAGAAAAGGCTTCTTTAAATTCGGTAATTTGTTCTTCGCTTAATTGGTCAGCCTACATATTTTATTTATATTTATATCGTTTATATATAATATATATAATATATATATTAATTGTAAAATATTTTTTTCAGTTAAAATAACATACCATTTTTTTAAAGATTTAAAAAAAATATCAATAAACGTTTTTGGGTTTTTTAAAATATTAATATTTAAAAGAGGAAGAGAATGCTTTAAATAAAAAAAATAAAAATTTTCCCCAATTATTATTTGTATTGTAGGTATTATTGTAGGTTGGATGAGATTATATGGCGTCACACAATACATCAAGATATTGATGTCACAATTTTTAATTGTGGCTGGTGATGACTAATTTTCTTTATCTTGAGCCACAAAGTTTCTTTATCAATGTAACACTACTTCAAATTGTTTGATGCAGAAAAAACAAACAAGGAATATTATTCGTTGGTAAGAATGTATGTAATAGGGCGAAATGTATATCGGGGCAATGCCCGGTTTGGGAAAATTTTGTCGGAAATCTTCAAAAGATTATCGGGCCAAAATAAATAAGTAAAATTTACATGCGTGTAACAGGAAAATGGCTGATTCCCAAAATTTTATCGTTTCAACTGATCCTTTTGTTATAATTAATATTAATATTAATCCTTATTGTAAATGATCAACGGAAATTTCATTGACTTGAAGCAAAGAATAACTTCAGCCCTCGCTTGAAAAGCAGAGGAAAATAATAGATAATTAACATTCTAATAAAATAAAACTCTGCGATAGAATCATTATTTATTAAATAAAATTAATTGTTAAAAATAAGCATAAAAATAAAAACGTCTTTATTTTTTTTGTTTAAAGCATTTTGATAAAGCAACAAGTGTAGTACTTTGGTAAAAGGTAACAATTGTGGGACTTTGGTTAAAAGACCACGTTTTATTCGCTTTAGTGAGCAAGCAAAGGTTAAGACTAGTGGACGGACGTTAACAACAATTAATAAGGTGATTTACTTTAATGAGCAAGTAAAGGTTAGGACCAACGTTGATTAACTGGTGAGTGTTAAATGAAGTATCATCCAAAGGTTAATCGTAAATACTGGTAGTATTATTGTAATCGTGAACGTAAGGCTGTTAAACAAACTACTTGGTTGCAAGAGAGTTTGCAATCGGCAAATAAATCGATCACAAGTGAATAAGAAGAAGCCTTTGAGCTTTGTAAAAATGCCATTTTATTTATTTACAGTTATCTGGTACCGTCAAGTGTGTGCAAGGAAGAGGCAATAATCGAGAACCAAAGTAATTCGCAAACTAGTTAATTGACAAGCACCGAATTATTGTGAGTTGTTTGCAATCTTCATAAGTTCTTTCTTTAATTACTCGAATACTTAATAATAATGAAATGTTATTCATCTTCAACATTTTAGAGAAAAGAGTTACAATCAAGATTATTTAATGAAATATTACTTGCATAACTTTTAAGCTTTTATATTTAGCAATCTAATCACCTAAGATTCTACTTTTGTGTATCACTTGCTACTACTAATACTACTGATAACGATATTACCATTGATATTATTATTATTTTCGCGAATTTCCTTATGTTTATTTTTAGCAAATTCATAAAGCTCTCTACTGCTCGTGTTGCTTACTTGGGTGTTTTTTTTTATAGTAAAATCATTTATTTTAGATAGATATGGTTTATGGTTTATTATAAATAGAGGCATTAAAATTTCTTTTATGTTTTGTTCCTACGATGATAAATGTAACTAATCTAATAACGATTAAATAATACAAGCAAGCAACTATAATGATACCAGGAAAAGGTGACAATAGATATAAAGGTGGTATATCGTCATCACCATTGATGTGATAAATTATTTTTAATAGAATTAGGTTTTTCTAATCTGTTTATAGAGACAATACCTTTTGTATAAAATTTCAATCGAGAGCGGGATGGGACTTGATGAATAAATAGTTGGATAAATTTATTATATAACAATATGTTAAAAATATATAGATCAAAAGATCAAATATAATTTATTCAAATATGACAATGAAATAAATTTTTAGAGCGTTGTGGACTGTCAATTCATCTACGTATATATCATTGTTTATCGCGATAACATTATATTTAGATGTTTCAGCTCATTTTTTTTTGTTCGAAAGGTAAAGTTACTTTCATATGGTGCTATTAGAACTCTCGGAGGATATTTAGTTGCATTCTCTCCAAATCGCGCACATCGTCCAGTCCTTATAATAAAATAATAATAATTAATATGCGTGTGTGTGAGAAAGAGAGAACAACAGTAGATAAAAAAATAATTTACCAACACATGATTTATTTTTGCACTGTATTAAAAGGAGGTAGATCCACACCACCATCACCAGGGTCCATCCAACCTGTAAATTAAATGTGAGCATTTACGTCATTATTGTTAATAACAGATACAGACTTGGTAACTTTCGCGAGCTGTACAAAGTACTTCCAGTTCTCCATTTTTAATCCTAGTGGCAGCACTTTATTCCATAGGACCCCTGATAAACTTAATTTTCAAAAAGCAGCTCATTTGCAATATTGAAAGTCTTGGCATTTAATTTTAAAAGGTTGTCTTAAAATGTTATGATATTTGTTTTTAAAAGTAAACATCGGATCGTTTCACAAGCGTTTCATATAAGAATATTTAAAAAATGAGTTAATTATAAAACTAATAATAATGAGTATCTGGATATTTATTATCAATTATTCAATAATTACATGGCGGGTTGATGGAATTAAACGTTAAAGACAAAATCTATGAAGCTCGCAAAGCAAGTTTTGTAAAACGGACGTTTTATCAATTATTCAATAGTTGCATGATAGGTGGTAGGCGTTAAAGACAAGATGTGCGAAACCTGCAAGTTTTGTGAAAGATGGATTTATTTACATTTTTATTATTAATTCGCAATTCGCCAGAAACATCTCCAGTTGACACAAAAACCTTATTATCAAGTATCACATTTATGCATAATAAAAAACATTAATAAATTTTTTTTTGTTAAAAAACTATATGCTAATTTTTTACTGGTAAAGTATGAATTCAAAACTGCTCAGAATTATGGGTAAAAAAAAAAAACAAACTGAAAATTCACTTGGAGAAATGTGATTAAGGATTCTTATTCATTATTTTTTTCAACTTTGGAATGTCATTTACTTCCAACTCACTTGTTCCACATTATTTTGGAGTTTTTTCAAGCATTTCTTTAGCTGTATATCATTATTTTTATTTATGTCACCAATATGGAAAAAAGTTTTCAGCAATTCTATCGCTTTATCAGACATATGTTTTCCACTACCTTTTTCCCGTATTCTCGGTTTTCTTTTAGAACATCCAGGTTGGAAGAAATTCCTAAAAAATTTCAACAGGAGAGAGTTCAACATTACAAATTTTTTATTGCAAAATCTGCTATTGTCTTTCCTGATCAAATTAAAGAAGTCATAACATTCTCTTGAATTTATTCCATAATGCAAATGAGATGCAATATAATCTACAGAAACAAGATTCACGATTAAATATAGTCGCTTTGACGTTTGAATGAAAATAATGATAATGAGAAAGTATTTACGAAATTATTAAATGGGAAAACCGGCCAGAGATTATTTTACTAAGTTATTAACCCGCGTTTTACTATTACTAAAATGTATGTCGGTCCCAGTGTGTAAATTTCAGTGTGTAACTAATGCAGATTTCTACAAATTTAGAAACTATCTGCAGAAAACTGCTAATGTA